TTCATTTGAATCGTATCCCTTCTGAGGCAAGGATGAAAAAAAAAAAACCTAGGCTGAACTACTATCCTCAGGCTCACGACTGCTGTTCGACTGCTGTTCCCCCGCCTGACTCGTCCCCGAAACGGGGCGATACCCGGCAGGCAGACGCCGCCTTCCTCGTATTTTCCTTCGATACGACGGTGTCTCACCGAATCCGATTCCGACCCATGGGATACGTCCTTTCACATTTTTTTATTAGGAAAAAAAAGATATTGAAGGCATTTTGGGATCTTCTGAAGCATCGTGACATTTCTATTATCACCTTTTTCAACCAGACTTCATCATGAATTAAATAGAAATCAGAACAAAATGATTGATGCTCGGTAAGAGATCAATTCCTTGATCGTGAACACAGTAAATCGGTCCAATAAAAAGACCATATAGAAAAGGGACCAATTGAAACAGGTCAACAGAAGCGGGACCAATGAGGCAGGCGATCTGAGAATCCCCGTCGTCATTGGTATCGTCGTCGTTTCCTCTGTGCGGTCTGGTGTGGAGCCTCGGGGACGACGACGTTTCCTCCCAACCTGGATTCCACGATGCCAGGTGACAACCACCAACCGGCGATGAAACTTCCGACGACGAGTCCGGTTCCCAAAGCGGTTTTCGTCGTCGCGTTGGCGGTTGCCGTGCCGGAGAGGACCGCGGCAGAGAAAGTGACGAGAGACGTCAGCCTTCTTCTCTTCCGTTCCTCGGCCATCCTCTTCTCGAGATCGTCGTGCCGGGCGTCGAGCATCTGCGGCGAGGGGAAAGGAGTCTCGAGGAAGGTTTATGGGGCAATGGGTCGCCGCGGCGGTCCGACTCACCTCCGTCAGGACCTTCTCGTACTTTCCGACCTGCCACTCGGGATGTCCTCCCGCGTTCCTCCTGAAAGACGCGAGAGCGGCGTCCATTTGCATCCTGTGGCCATCCAGCAGCGTCTCCCCGTCCACCACCGTCGCCCCGTAGAGCCGCTGCCTCCTCCGCTCGTACTCCTCCGCGGCGCGCGAACACGCTTCGTCCAGCTCCGCCTCCGCCTCTTTTTCTGCGGTCGATCGCCGCTTCTCCGATTCCTCGTACCTTCTCTTAAGGAACTATCACGGAAGGTGAAAAGCTGAGCTTCCTAAAGGTTCGTAGCATCGCACCGACACGAGCGAGAGCGATACCTTCAGTGACATTTATAGGAAGCCTATGGTGGACGATTCGTGTCGCATACAATAAATTGAAGATGCAAAAATCAATTTTCCTATTTCTGGGGCATTCAGCATTTATTTTCCCAATGCCGGTGCGCAAATTGTGAGAAAGGTTGGCATTCGCCAAACGAATTGAAATTCTCGTGATGAACAGATTTTAGGGACGGAGGCTTTCATTAGGCACATTTGGCAGTGCCAAATGTTCACGTGCCGAAATGAACACATTTTGACCCGTTCTTGGATGAAAATTAGATTCGCATTAAAGGATTCAGGCTTCGACTGCGACAAAAGAAGAACGTGCGGACATCTCTTTCATCTTCTCATCGTTGAAGAAATTCGATAGCTACGTGGGCCCAAAATGCCTGAAGAAACGCTCGAATGATGCTCAAAATTCAGCGTTTCATCAATGTTTCAATCTATTTGGATCAATTTCGTCCCTTCCTCACGATTTCGCCAAGATGCGCAATAATAATCGGTGAAAATTAATCGGCATGTGAATTTATCCCTTGAAGATCTTCACAGAACTGAAGATGTTCTTCAAGCATGATGGATAACGACATATACTTCAGCGACGTGGGAATCTGGCAGCGCATGTATCATTCTCCCTCACTTAAAAGTAAAAAAAAAAAAAAAAAAAAAAAAAAA